TTAGGCTGTGCTAGGGCCCATAGCTGGCATCTGCAATTGTACTAGGAGATTTTCAAAGCACTTCATAGACATCATCTCATATAAGCATCATAAGAATCCTGGGAAGAGGGGCAGCTAGGGTGCTCAGGGGACAGAACACTGGCCTCGGAGTCAGGAGGACCTGAGTTCAAATCTGAGCTCAGACACATAACACTCACTAGCTGTGTGACTCTGGGCAAGTCACTTAACCCCATTGCCTAGCAAATTTTTTAAAAATTTAAAAAAATATCTCTAGTTTACAGATGAAGAAACTGATCATTAGAGAGGTTAAATGACCTTCCCATAGTCACACAGCTAGTAAATGGCACAGACAGAATTTGCAACCATATTGTTCTGCCTCCAAGCTCAGCCCCTGCCCTGGAGGAGCTCACAGTCTAGAGAGTGGACTACGTCCAACAAAGTCCAGGCTTCTTTGTCTGGTATCCACGACCCTCCATAACTTGGTTGTATCTGCCACTCACTCCTTACACATAGCAAACGCTCCAGAAAAATTGGCTAACTCTTTTCTCCAAATAATTCCTGCACTTTCCCATTCTCTTCATTCTCCTGCTTCAGAGCCTAAGCTAATGGATGGTCTTCAAAAGCTGCCACGGTCCAAGAATGAATCACCAGTAGCCAACCCAGGCCCAAGCCTCCACGTATCTCCAAGATTAGGACTGGCTAGTAAGTCATAAATGGCTGCTATCAATGTCAACGGAGCAAGGACAATGAAGTCAAAAGTTATGAGCCCAGATTTAGAACTGGAAAGAACATTACTAATAATCTAACCCAACTTCTTCACTCTAAGGTAAGGAAACTGAGGCACAGACATGTCAAGAGACTTGCCCTAGACCACACATCCAGTAAGTCCTGGAAGCAATGAAATCATATGGGCCAATATCATCATCCAATCGAGGCATAATGGATACAGCATTGGACTTGGAACCAGGAAGACTTGAGTTCAAATCTTGCCTCAGACATTTATTAGATATGTAACCTTGGGCAAGTCACTTAACCTCTATTTGCTTCAATTCCCTGTAAAATGGGGATAATTCCCATGCCTACCTTACAGGGTGGCTGTGAGAATCAAATGAGATAATGTCTGTAAAGTGCATATCGAACCTTAAAGTTTCATATCAATGGGAGCTATTATCTTACCGGAGCAGTATCATGGATTTGTTCAGCTTTGATTGGGGGCTTGCTGTCTGTGTGATATAAGTCATATCAATCAGGCAGTTGGCAAGGATTTTAAGTAGCTACAATAATAATAATAATAATAATAATAATAATAATAATAATAATAATAATAGCAACTAGCATAGATATAGTACTTTAAAGTTTGCAAAGAGCTCTCCCGATATTGTATCATTTGATCCTTGCAATCACCCTGGGAAATATAAGCTATTGTTATCCCCATTTTACAGTTGAGGAAACTGAAACTGAGAGGTTAAGTGCCTTGCCCAAGATCTCACAGCTAGTGTCCCAGACAGGATTTGAACTCGGTTCTTCCTGCCTCCAACTCTGTTGTTCCATCCAGTGGGCCATCCTAGTTGCCTGGGATACACACACAAACTGAGCCCTCTTCTATCTCAGTCTACTTCCATTTTTCTGGGCCTCAGTTATGCCATCTGCACAATGAGGGTGTTGAACCAGATGGTATCTAACATCATCTTTGAGCTCTGGATTTGTGACTCTGTGACTAAATTCTAAGCACCAAAGTCCATCTCCTTTCCCAGCAGTTTTGGTACAGAGAGGCAGGAAAGGGGCAGGGGCTGGCTAGGTTCCAAGTCTTCTCCCAACTACCACCTGCCTCTCACGCAAGACGTCAGACTTGTTGTTCCGGTCCCTGGGAGCTAAGCAAGGGCCTGGCCTGGAGCCCTGAGTGGTAGGCTGCCTTGCCTTTTAAGGAAGGCTTCAGAAAACTATGCTTGGAATTTTACCCTCACACTTCATGGGGTCATCCTCCTTACACCTAGTACAGGTGGGCTTGGACCAGACCTCCCTTCATCTCCTTGGAGCCTACACTTTTTTTTTCTTTGTTTGTTTGATGGGTCAAGGGTGGGAGGGCTGAGATAAGGATGCTCTGGGCTTTCAAGACAAGAGGAGGAGACCAGAGAACTTTTGTTTTTAAGGAGAGGCCATGGTAGGGGGGAGGGTAGTGGAAAGATCACTAGGCCTGGAGTTAGGATAGATGTGAGGATGAATCTCACCCCCATTCAGAGGGCAAAGACCTGGGCTCAGATGTCAGCCTGGCTGCTACCTGCTACCTGGGCGACTCTGAGCCAGTCAGCTCTGTGTGCCTCAGTGGCCTCTTCAGTAAGACAGGGATAGTGTCCAGAGCAGCTTCCTCACAGTGCCTGGCCCACACACAGTAAGCAGCACCTAACAAATGATTGTTGATCACCTCACCGTGGTTGTTGTGAAGCTCCAGGGAGACAGTGTCTGTAAACCTTAGAGGCAATATAAACGTTAGCCCTCATTATGCCTTTGAGCTCTGTCAACAGCCCATATGGCTAAGCCAGATAGAAGGTAAAGTCCTCCCTCACTGTCCCCCCCAACACATTTCTCTCCTTGGCAACACATGGCAGCCAATGGTACCACTGAGCCGGGGAGCTTTCTAATTAAGTCAATGGAATGAGCTGGCCATCCAGAGAGGGAGTTTGAGACTTTGGTGATTCGTAGAAATTCACAGTGATTTGTACATTAGCTTTCAACGGACAAATGGTGACAACTCCGCAGGGCTGTTTTTCCTGACTGCGCGCAGAGTTGTGGTTGGGTTGCATATAGAAGAACAAAGAGGAAAGAAGAGAGAAATCGATCCTCGAAGAGATTCCTCTCTGAGAATGTGAATGTTCAGGATGTGGTTGAGAGCTTGGCATCATCCCCAACAAAGACCCATGAGCCCTCTGGGGACCTCTGGTGATGAGCAGATTGGTGTGCCATCACTGCCACTGGACTAGAGGTCTGCTTTGCTCTCATTGTCTTTTCCCAATGTGAAAGAGAAATACAGTTCCTCTTTCAAACCATGTACCTCCCCCTTTCCCCCTTCTTTTCTAACCCTGACTGGCCAGGACAGTGTTTTCCCAGACCGGGTTCCTCTCCTCCAAAGTTTTTAACCTGTTATCATTTTGTTTGACAGTATCTGGTGAGACCTATGGATCCCTTCTCAGAATCATGCTTTTCAATGCATAAAATAAAGCACATAGGATTACAAAGAAAACCAATCATAGTGAAACAGTTATCAAAAATAATTAAACAAGGTCATGGAAGGGAACGGGAAGGGAATAAGCATTTATATAACACCTGCCATGTGCCAGGCACTTCACAAATATCATCTCATTTGATCCTCACCACCACCCTGTGAGCTAGGTATTATTATTATCCTCCTTTTGCAGTTGAGGAAACTGAGTCAAACAGAGGCACAATGCCTTGCCCAGGGATGCACAGCTAGTAATTGTCTGAGGCCAGATTTGAACTCAATCTTCTTGACTCTAGGCCCCCATATTATGAGCCCTGCCCTAGGGCTGGTTTCATGAAATATCTCAGAGAGGTAGAGACTACTGATGCTTATATGTTCTCATGAAGGGCTCAGTGGGGTTGCAAAGGAGAGAAGGAAGGTGTTAGAAGAAATGGCCGACAAAAATAAAAGGCAACTAAAATAACAAAACTTTGTTTCTTAGGGACTTGAATGACAAGCTCTCTCCTTCGTGACCCCGGATCCCCCCCTCCCTTAGGGTGCTACTCAGATCCCCAGTTACCGGTTTGGGTGCGTGGCATTGTTTTCTGTGGCCCTTCTCTCCTAAGGCCAAAGCCAAGGACACTGACCCACTGCCAGGTTACTCTGACACTTGGGAAGATCTGTGATCTTGTCTGCCTGGGACTTAGAGTCCCAAGCTGCCTTCCTGCTAGACCTTGAGAATCCTCCCTAGAGATTCTGCCCCAGACACTAGAATCCAATGAGGTCGCGTCTCTAAGGCCCTTTATAAAGACCAATAAATGGATGTATAAAGGTTAATAATAATATTATTATCAATATATTGTATGATTATTTCTACTATCATCATTTGTCTTTGTGTCTTCAGGGCACCCAGTAAGACTGTAAAAATGCCTGTCAGTCACTGTCACATTACAGTTGGCCCCAAAGTCCATGGGTGTGAAGAAGCAAAATCCCAGAACCCCCGAGTTGGAAGGGACCATACAGGCCATGTTGTCCAGACTATGAAACTCAGCGAGAATGTTCTCCCCACCATTCCCAACAATTGGTCAAACAGCCTTTTCAATGCCCGCCGAGGACAGGAAGCCCCTCTCCTTTTGGGTAGCCCTCCCTGTTAGAGAGGCTCTCCCCAAGTCCTCTGCCTCCCTTCCAGCATCAGTGGCTTGACACTCAGATTAGATTGAGATGCAGCCCCACACCACAGAGCAAAAGTAAATGAATGTCTGAGCGGAGTAACTCTCTGCCCACTTGAAGGCGGGTTCATTGTTATGGCTATAGGTTGTCCCTCGATGCCTCTCTGGTCAACAGAGGGCCTTCCCCGGGGCTAGCTCCCTGAAAAAATAATGCTGCTAGTGACAGAGCCTCATTGTGTGGGCTGCCTGGTGGGTCAACCTGGTCTGAGCCCCAAGAGCCCTTAGTTTGAGAAGATGCAGGCGTGGGGAACACTCGGGTAGTGAAGGATGGTGGGAAGAACCCCAAAGTTTGGAGTCAGAGGAACTGGGTTTACACCCCAACTCTGACACTTGCTGTGTGACCTAGGCTAGCTACTTTACTTCTCTCTGGATCTCAAGTTCATGATCCCTAAAAAGAGAGAAAGACTGGACCAGCTATCCTCCAAATTGCCTTCCAGCTCTAGGTTTAGGGTCCTATGGAAATGTCGAAAAAACTCACCCCAGATTTCTGCGCGCACACACACACACACACACACACACACACATACACACACACACACACACACACACACACACACACACACACTTCATACTACCTGGCATGATGAGACAGTGGTGCTTGCAGTGGACAATGGCGGCCACAAGAAGGTCCTTCAACCGCCTGAGGACTTTGCTGGGCAGGATGTATCCTTGGCATTCAGTGTTCTCAGATGGACTGAAGACATCCTCAGTCATCCACCTCTCTAAGCCAGCTGCATCCTGAGGAACCCCCAGAGTGTAGGAAGCTGGGCTGGGAAGGTTTTCCTGGATCCTTCTTCCCTCAAGCTGACCATCTATTGTCTCTTGGGCCAAAAGGCTGTCAGAATCCACCCATAGGGGCACTTCCATAGTCAGGTCATCCTCAGAGGTACGAAGGGCAAATTGGAAGGCTTCCAGGTCCCTGGAGTAATCCACCCGAAACCTGGAGTCCAGCTCCTGGACCCTCTCCAGTATGGTCAGTAGGACATTCTCAGCCCTCTGGTAGTCCTGGATCTTGGGGGTCTCCCGGGACTGGATAGCTTGGAGGCAATGATGCCACAGGGAGATCTTCACTGCCATGGTGGCAGATACACAGCCAAAGCAACTCTCCTCTCGTGATGGGTCAGAGGCCAGCTGGAGCTAGGCGTCTGTGCTGCGCTCTCTCTTGGGGCAGAGCCTGAATGCACCTGGGAGGGGAAAGTTCCCAAGAACCAAGGTGAGGAGCAGGCACAATGGGGCGGAGCCTCCACCAGCCAGACGACAAATACCAGGGAGACAACAAGTTGCAGTGTTTCCCTATTAAATACTTGAACCAGGGCCAAGGCAGCACCTTTGAAGGGAATCGTTGTGTCAGGTAACTCACAATTAGAGGTATGGTGGCAGGTGGGCTGGGCCAACAGCGAGGAGGCCAGCCTAGCTTGTCTCAGGGCAGCCTGCCCTGGGCTGTCCCAGAACACCCTTGCCGTCCCCAATCCCTGTTGCCATCTGGACTACCCAGTGAAAGCGCCCCACCAGTAACATCCAGGGCACAACAGACCAGCAGCGCCAAAGACCCCAAAGAGAAGGGCCACAGCCCCAGACCCAAGAAGGGGCTCAGGTTTCCCAGGCAGAGAGGGGGCAGTGTGCTGGGTTTGGAGAGGGGAAGGTGAGTCGACGAGAATTTGTTAAGTGCCTACCAGGTCCCTGGGCTAAGAAGGGGACCCAGCGAGAGGCAAAAACAGTCCCTCCCCTTCAGGAGCTTCCAATCTAATGGGAGAGATAAAAAGCAAATCAATACATACAAACAAGATCCACACGGGATGAAATGGAAATAATCTCAGCAGGAAGGCATGAAAATGAAGGGGGCTGGGATGGCTTCTTGCACAAGGTGGGGTTTTAGCTGAGACAGGTGGGAAGGCAGGAGGCAGATCTGAGGAGGGAAAGAATTCACCGTTTAGAGTTAGAAAAAAACTTAGAAGCCATCAACTCCAATTTCCTCATCTTGCGAATGATTTGCCCACTGCCACTAAACCACAATGTCTCAGGCAGGATTAGAATCCCGAGACGCAGTGCACTATCCACTAGAGAACACTGCCTCTTGAGGCTTATCAATGCTTGTGGAGGGGTTTGTTTCACCTCCAGAGAGCCCTGTTCATCCTCTGTGCAACCTGCGGAATAGTGACAAGTATAATTGTCTTCTTAATGCTTGAAAAAGGATGACAGTAAAAATTGGACTTGACCCAGAACTCTGAGGTGTTCTAAGCATCCTATAGACATGATATCACTATTCTGATCAGCATTCCTACAGGGTGAGTAAAGGGACTGCATAATACCCATTCTCTAGATGAAAAAACTAAGCCCCAGAGAGGCTCTGGGTGGTGCAATGGACAGAGAACCGGACCTATTCAGGAACTTGAGTTCAAATCTAGACTCAGACGCTTAGTAGCCATATGACTCAGTTTCTTCATCTGTAAAATGAGGATAATAACAGCACCTGCTTCCCAGTGTTCTTGATCAAATGAGATCCTATTTGTAAAGTGCTTTGCAAATCTAAAACCACAATGGAAATCCTAGTAATTGTCCTTCTCATTACTCTGGCACTTACTCAAGGTCACACTCTAAACCCATGAATTCACTCTTTATGCAGGCCAAGACTATTGACTTCAGTCCCACGGTCTCTTCATTTGACCCTCTCTGAAATTATCTGGCTCAGTAGCAAGGCCAGAGCTCATGTGACAGGGCCATAACTAATGTGCCCTGGGCAATGGCTAGTAGAGACATAGCCACTTAAAGTTTGCAAGGAGATTTACAAAAGTTCTCTCATTTTATCCTCACAACCACCCTGGGAGGTGCTATTATCACTGTTTTACAGATGAGGAAACTGAGGCAGACAGGGGTTAAGTGATTTGCCCAGAGTCACACAGGTCATAATTGGTTGAGGCTGGATTTGAACTCAGCTGTTCCTGACTCCAGGTCAAACTCTCTGTCTCCTTCCCCCATCTTATTTGAACACGTGGCATACTTGAGACAGCAGATGAATGTTTTTCTGTGCCCAAGGCAAGGACCTCACTTGTTTCACCCTTGTGCTGCTTCTCTCTGGAAGCTAGAACAGCATAGTGCCTATGGAGACTTGACTTGGCAGTAGGAAGATCTGTATTCAAAATCTGACACTTTCTTACATTATCTTGTTCATTAACCTGATCATATCTGAAATTCCCTTCAGTGTAGTAACAGATGACTGTCTCTCTCCACGATGAGAGAGGGTTAGAACTTGTCTCACTGTATCTGCTTATAAACAGGACTCCCCTCCTCCGGGGACAGGATGACCGGAGCTGGGAGTCAAGATCTGAAAACACCCCCCTCAGTTTCCTGCCTTGTCACAGCTGAAAAGAAGACAGAGGAAAACCTCAGCCCTGCCTGGCTCTTCAGCACCTGCAGGTTAACCTTCCCCACCTGCTGGCTTGGGGGGGGGGGTGCGGGGTGAGACAGGCAGGTCTCGACTTTAGTCTGAGCAGGTGTACGAGCCCAGACCTGACCGTTAGTCCTGCTTGGCTTCAGGCCCTGGGGTGTGGGGATCTATAAACCCCGGGAAGCCACGGTTCATTTCCTCTCTCACAGGTGTCCCTCCTGGAGGGCATGAGGATAGTGCTGGGCACTTTGCCCCATGGGAAATCTCTGCTTCCCCGGGCCTGATGTAAAGTCTCTACCTAAATTCCCCTCCCCCGATGTATGATTCAGAATTCCATGGTGGAAGCCAAAACTGTTGTTTTCTTTCTCTATTCAGTTTGGTTCAGAACCTTTGAAGATTCCCACAAACGTCATCTTCCTGGCCGGAAGGCAAGGGGCTGCACCAGAGAATGTCTCTTGGTTTCCATTCACATTTTATAGATGGTTAAAGCTGGAACAGACCTTAGGAATCACCTACTGCAAGTATCACATCTGGCAGAGGGGGAAACTGAGGCTTGCCCAAGCTCACATGGCGAACAGGCCGGCAGACCCAGGATGGGAATTCAAAGGGCTTGAACCCCAATTCACGATGCTTTTCCATGCAGCAAACACTTCACAAACACCTACTGTGTGCAAGACAGAGAGGGGAGAAGAGAGTCAGGAAAAACTCTGCTCAAGGCTCAGGTCCTCCAGCCCAATGGTGTCAAACAGAAGGGACCTAAGGATCTCTGTTGGCCACATACCGACTCGGTTTTTAAAATGTTATCTATGCTTTGTGGAATTTTTATTTATTTTGTTAAATATTTCCCAACTACCTCTTAACTTGGTTCTGGACAGCTCAATCTAGGCACCCAACCAAACAGAATTTGAGAATTGGAAGGGGTGTCAGTAGCCCACCAGCCCAACCCATCCCCAAAAGCAATCTCCACTCTAACACACCCAGCAAGTGGCCCTCTACTTCTGCTTGAAGACCCACAAAGAGGGAGCACTTCCTCACCACTTCCTCAGGCCCTGTGAAGTAGGGCTCGTTGGGAGCCAGTCTGTCCAGACAGCCAGTCTACACCAGGCTCTTTGCAACTTGCACCCACCGCCCCTGGTTCGACCCTCGGGGGCCAAGCAGAACAAAGGTAATCCTTCTTTTACAGGACAGCCAGTTATACTCTTGAAAATAATGTTCATGCCCACTCCACTCCTTCACTTTTCAGGCAGAGTATCCCTCATTCCTTCAACAGATACTGCTAAACGTTGGCCCAAAGAACTGTTTCATGATGGAATTTCCATAAAGGGATAACAATAGTGATGGAAGATTTTCAGTGGAGAATTAAGGCTTGGAACTAGCACAGGGAAATGAACACTCCTCAGGGAAGAATGGAAGGGATTCCTTAGCCAGCACAAGTCCTGGGGCAGTTTCCCTTTGTGATGTCTATCTCCTTAAAAAAAGCACCACCTCTCACGTCAAGTCGGATTACCCAGAATTGCTCAAAACCACTTAGACCCAGAAAAGAATGCCATGACCCTCCAAAAGCCTTTGCACCAGCAAATCGCAGAGGTGAATAACACAGAGCTCTCATACTCAGCTCCAGGAATGGAAACTGGCACTGGTGAGACACGGAACCGAAGATGACTCCACATCTTCACCACAGCATGAGTTTTGTTCCTACATCAGCCAACATCACTAATTCTATTTGAGGCTGTTGTAACAACACAGCTGGGGGAGCAGATATCTTCTGTCTTGTCTGCTAGATAGCATGGAAACCTTTTAATTGTTGACTTCCCTACAAATGCGGAATCATAGAATGTCAGAGCTGGAAGAAACCTTAGGGGCCACCAAAGATTATAGGATTAGAATTGTAAAGGACATTAAGGGACAATTAGTACCTTGTGACCTTGGGCAAATCACTTAACCTCTTTTTGCCTCAGTTTCCTCAACTTTAAAATGGGGATAATAACAACATCTACCTCCCAAGGATGTTATGAGGATCATGAGATAATATTTTTGAAGTATTTCGCAGTGCCTGGCACATAGTAGGTGCTTAATGAATGTTTCCTTCCTAACTGCATAAAATAAAATATACAGGATAACCAAGCAAGTCAAAGGTTAGTAAAAATAAAGATGTATTCTTTCCATCCAAGTTCATGAACCCCATGAAAGAATTCTTGTACTAGACGACAGAGCTAAGGTCCCTTCTGCCCCTAACATTCTGTGATTCCATGCAGGGACTCTCCGTGGTACTAGAGCTAGATAACACCTCAGCTAAGATTAGACAACGGATCCCCCACCTGTCCGGTAGTCTCTCCAATACCCTCTAGTCCTTAAACAAGGGAAGTAACCAGGGAGCTGCTCTTTTCCCTGCTTAACTTTAAAGGCACCAAGAAAGCTTTGTGATTCCTGCTGTGTTCTCAAAACCCTGAAGGCAGTTTAAACAGTTGTCAGTCATGTCCACCCCACACCCTGGCCTCTGTTTCCTAAGATGCTACATGGTATGTTAGAAAGAAGATAAGACCAGGGGAGTTGGGACAGGAGGAGAATTAAGGGGGCTGCCTTTGGGTCCCAGATTACATTCACTAATGCTGTGGCCTTGGAGCAGTCATAGAATTTCTCTGGGTTTCAATTCTTTCATCTCTACCCCTTCTCCTGGCAGAGTCCCATTCACCCTGTTCTAGGTACAATTCAATTCTCCCCATCCATGTCACCAGCACTTACTGTCCCCAAGGTCACTCAGTCAGCATCCTCAGTGATGTTAGCATCTGGTCACAGCCTTCTAGTCCAA